TCACCTTGGTGGACTCACTGTGGAGCTCAGTTTGTTTGTCTAGTGCATTAATAGTTCCAGGCCCAGCTTTGGGAATCATCTCTTTCAGAAGTCGTAATGCCTTTTTAATGGGACACAACTGTTTTCTGTGGCTCCTGTCTGCTGGCCTGGCCAGTAAAGCTGAATATAGACTAGCAAACAAACTAAATTAGATAAAGAGAAGTCACCTGGGTTGGTTTTATGTTGTTCAAGTTAGCTTTAAGAAAATAAATATGACTGTTCGTAAAAAGAAATTTGATTATTAAATTACAGCAGTTTTTAAAAGAGGTAAATTATCTTTAAAATTTCACATGGGTTTGAATCAGATTCAGTCAGATGGTCAGTTTACACCCAGTTTGTGCATCTTACTCACCAACTCGGGTCAATTTACCCCTAACCTGGGACAAATTGAGCCACGGGAGTCATATTTTTAGAACCCTTTGTCATTGACACTGACATTCTGATCATTTAAGATAATAGGAAACATCCTGAAATTATTTTAGATACTTTCTTGTACTTTTGCCTCATTTTCCCTTATCTTAACCACACAAGTAAAAAATGTCCCATCTTACCCCCCTCTCCCCTACATGTATTAGAAAGCAGGCATCTTGGTATGTGTTTACTGAGGACACATTCATTAAAAAACGTAGTTATGAGTCTCTACCCTTACTTTCATGCTCTTTCTTTTCTCCCAGCCTCTCAATGTGAAGCTTTATTTGCATGTTCACACATTTTACACATTAAAAAAACATTACGGAGCCACTTCCATTATTGCCAGGATGATCATGTAATACAGAGGCACTCAGCACGGACGTACGATGATTACTTCATAAGCACACAAATACTCTCTCAAAAACTCTCTCAGTCTCCGTTTATTAACTTTGTCTTAGTAAAATTTGGCATGTCTGACCAAGAGACTTGTCAAGCATGCACATAAAAATAATGCAAGTAGAAAGCACAGCATTCGCACAGTCCAACATCACTCGAGCAGCGGTGGAAAAGCATAATTTCATGCTGAATTGAATTGAATTTACACATGAAAAACAAACCCACACCAGCGAACACACAGTTTGCAAATGCACTCAAACGTGATACGCCCTTCAAATATACCAAAGCTAATTATTAAAGGTCAGATTATGCATAAAAACATAAAACCTGAACATCTCAAGCTGGCATAGCACGGTCATTCGCACACTCAAATGAAGAACGTTATTTCGGTTTCTAGACATTTCACCAGTCATTAGTCACTGATCTGGCCCTACGATCAGTGGCATAGGATGGGTTTTGTGTATGTGTGTGCAAACACGTTGGTCTCTATACTGGCCCATGTTTGTGTTGGATGAATCTGTCATGTTGGCCTCATTGGATTTCTCAGAGCTGGTCAATAGAATCACCCTCTTTCTCTCCTCAATGTGCCTCTGTATTTCGTCCCAGCAGACACTAGATATGTTTAGTTGCGCCATTATGACACACACACTTTATTCACTAATTTTGGCACCCATTTATCAAGCCTCATTAAGCTTTCCTATGATAAATCGTGTTAAATTACAACAAGCTGGCTATACACTTCACTAGTTTGCCCTTCTAACACTGCCTTTGTCATTGTGCACGTCACACATACACACACACTTCCCAAGTACGTCCTTATCAACAGAAACTCTCAAACTTTATTACATTCAGAAATGCATCTATGCCATGCAACTTTTTAATTCCGTCACAATCCGTAAGAGATTTGTTTTTACCCACCCACTAAAATCATCAGACAGCGGATAATCTATCATCCGTTCCCTCTCGCGCGCACCATTTCTATCTTGGGCATGGCATGCTTCCAGCCCTTATCAATAGCTCTCATTAAACCATGGTGGTGTCTGTCTGCCATGCCACATTACGGATGAGAGACAGATTGCTGAACTAATGTCCCACTCTTCCCGCCTCTTTTTTTTTTTTTTTACAAACGTCATATAGTCAGACCACATAACAGAGGAGTACAAAATATAAATGTTTCATTGTGGTTCTTCTTTTGAACTGATCGCAGCTAGTAATGTATAGCTCTACTCAAACAAAAGCTGAGCTCTGAGAAATCAACATGAATGTATGATCTTAGAAATACAGTAGGGAGCAAAGTCTGAGACCACATTGAAAAACTGGGATTTAAAACCCTTGAAATGTTTTAGGATTTTGAAATAAAAAATTAATGAAAAAAAATTAAAAGCTATGATGCTATGATTCTATATTATTTCTAGGTTACTAATTAAATAAGCAAATTTGTGACACTGATTGTTTGTCTCTTTCTACAGATGGTTCTTTCTTCCACTGAAGCATAAATATGCTCTTTGAATTATGCTGGAGAGCATGTGAACTTGTGGGGTTTAAGCAGCTCATGAACTCCTGTCATTAAAGAATATACTAAGTAATAGTACTAAGAAATTTTTTCAACTTTTGACTTGAACTGTTATTCTAAAGGCTGGGATCCACTACGCGACTTTTAAAATCTGAACAGATTTTTAAAAGACTGGGCATCATAAACTTACCAACTTTGTAATAGTCACAGAGAAAAACTGGCCATCATACACTACATGACTGAGGACCATACACTATCAGACTAAGGCCACGTTTACACGACAATGATGTAGTCGAAAACAGAAAAGATTTTTTCTTTTCCCTTGCCTTTTTAAAAAAGTTTCACGTATACAGTACATGACAACGTTTTCAAAACGATTCGCGTTTACACATATCCGTGAAATCGGCCAAAAACACTGGCGCGATCACCTTGTTAGTAAACAGTCTCTGTAGGGAAGTGACGATTATATGTTGTATATGATGCGTCTCCGCTGTTGGTTGTATTATTGGTTAAGTAAATCCACACTTTGCTGAAGAAGTGTTAGCAAACTCTTGAACAACAACAGTACCATGTACTCTGCCATTGTTGTGTATGTTTGTTCGCGCTTGCCTTTAAAATAGGGTATATGTCGAACATCACCTGACCAAACCCGGAAAACAGGTCTCATTGCTTCCGCTTGTCGGAGAACATGTTAACAGCCGTATTAAATAATAGCGATATCTATGGACTTTTAAGATAATCAGTTAAACTAGCTAGCTGTTTTTATTGTTGACGTTTTATTAAATTTTTATATCTAAATGTGAAAAGAATAAAGATGAAAAAAACTTTTAGATATCAGTCCGCATATGTGATGGACATTGGTTATGATGATCATTGGTATCTACTTTAAAGGCATCTCGAAGCGACGAGACCCGGTTAACAGAATACGGAAGTCTGTTGCGCATAACCCCTATTGACACGTACTGTGCATGTCTACATACCTAACACGTACTACGCACGCACATGACGTCACCGTTTTCAAAGATTCCCGTTTTGGGTGTTTACACGGAAACAATAACGGTGACGTTTTCAAAAACTTGCACTTTGAAATCCATTTTCAAAAATATGCGTTTTCAGTCCCCAAAACGCCATTGTCGTGTAAACGAACAGGCAAAACGCATAAAACACCCCTGGTGTAAACGGTCACTCAAGTCGTTCCGATCAGAACAAACTCACGCAGAAACGTGCGCCTTGACAAATTAAAACAAAGTGTTCCTAAATTGGCTGAAAATATCAAACATGTTTGACTGGCTCTGACTTTCGGCAACTAGCATCAATTTCTCCATACTGTAAATCAGCTGAAAATTGGGGCAAAAAACGTAACCTTATAAATAGCTTTTTCTCTATGCTATCAGATGTTTGGTCTTCACTGTAGTTCATCATTGGTTCTTTGTAACACCTTAATATTCATGAAAGATCTTTTGTCTCATCAATAATACTATAAGGTTCTATATTAGGGTCTAAAAAACTATAGAAGGAACTTGAGCTGGAATAATGATTTTTAAGGTTAAAATTAAAGATCTTGATGTTACATTACAGGTTCTTCAGATTTTCACAGCAATAACCATTCTGAGTACCCCAAAGAACATTTCAGTGAATAGTTCCTAATAGAACCATTTTTGTTTTCTCTCAGTGTGAAGAACTTTCCAATAATCTGAAGAACATGCCAACAAGAAACAGCTGTTCTATGGTTCTTCAAGGATCCATATGAAAGCAAAGAACCTTTATTTTTAAGAATGAAAAAACGTTATATGTGGAACTCAAAATGGTTCTCCTATGGTTGTACAGAGCTCGTCTGCAATTACAGACAAACAAATATATAGTTTAGTCATGATGGCGCAGGCTGTTAACATAACTGATGATATTCAGATAGTTAAACGACTTGGCACAAGCTGATTGGTTCATGCTGCATATGCAGCCAATGAGCTTACTGCCTTGCATTTATATGGCTGGCTATATTAATATATTAGTTCAGAGTTTCTCTGAAACCCTCCACCTTCCCCAGCTCCACCTGTATAGATCTGCTACGGGTTATTGTATATGCTATTTGTGCAGCAGCAGTATGTCTTAAATACTCACGGCACCGTATCGCCATATGCATTGGCAGTAGCAAGTTCCTGTACTTGCTTGCAGCAGCAACAATAATCTACAACTACAACAATAACCAACAGCAGCAGCGTACCAGATCTATTCCGCCAAGACCAAATACATTAACATTGTCATATCCATCACCATGCTAAAATCTTCAGAGAGTTGTCATGATTAAAATAGAGATTTTGGTCTAAGTCTTCTACTTAGCAGATTTTTCTGTTGAGAAAAAGCCCCTAAAATGTATTTCCTCTACAGTTTCTGAAGAGATCTCAAACAGTGCTCAGATTTTCCAAGATGCAAAAGATGCAAAAGTCTACAATAAAAACTCAGAAGGTTTGATTTTTATAGCTACGTACTTTTACAGAATGTCAAAAATTGTCTCATTTTTATGTCTCAAGAATAATTATAAGAAGCAACATCTAATGCAAAGTTGATACTTAAATGAGACATATCTGAGAACTTAATTAACAAGCGACCTCCAAGCAATGAAGTCATCCTCACACCCACTCACCTGGAGTTTGTCATGTCCGTCTGTCCTCCTTGACTTTTTTCCAGGCCCAATTTGGTGAAGATCCCAACCAGCACCATGATGGCCACCACTCCACATATTATGTACACAATCATGTGAGTGCGGTCTCGATCCGGTTCCTCCTGGACGTCGGTCACTGGAGCCGCCGGCTTGCCTGTGTTGGCCCACACCGGTGTGTCGTAATTGGAACAAGATGTCTGGTCCAGGCTGTGAACCTTGAACTGGCAGCAAAATCGATAGTAGCAGGAGCCACAGCAGAACAGGTATATTCCTGCATTACAGTTAAATGGAGGATCCCATTGGCCCATTACATCGTAGTAACCCCAACAGCGGCTCCCAACTGACGGGATTTCGTCTGCATCTGACCCCGGGGTCGCAAGAGTGACCTCCGGGGCACCAGACGGAGCAGCCGTCCGATTGGTGGCTTGCACACCTGTGCTGGCAGTGTTGGATTTTTGACCTTGAGAAACGTAGCTCAAAAGTAAAATGGCAGTAAGCACATTCAAAAACAGGTGTGAGGCAGCCATGATCCTCTTTAAGCAATCCCACAATGCGTTTCCCAGAATGCAACAGCACCACTGGGAAAAATTAAACCAGTGGAGTTTAGTTAATGTGAACCAAGAAAGCAAGTTTGCTGAGCAAAGTGATCTGTCTCCAAGTTTAGAGCAGGTTTAATGCTGACTCGTTGTCCGGCTCCTAAAAGAATGGCAAGCTGATACAGGGAAAGCAGCCCTCATCAGGGAATGAGACGGAGAGCTTTCCACGCCACTTCAGCACACAACATGCTCGCCGTTCTCATCACTACAGGGAGAGAGTGAGAGCGAGCAAGATTCCTCCCCTTTGAAAAAACGCCCGATTCAAGGATCTCACCATGTGACAAACGGTTTCGTGGCCCGAGAAAAAAACAACACTTGGTAGAATTCCAGTTCAGAAGCCTGAAGAAATGACACTGTTGGAATCAAGCCTTATCCGTGATCTTTGTCCCACCAAACAATGCGTGATGTCGGCGAAGAAGAGATGCCTCACGCTAGAGTTTGGAGGGATTCCACAAGTCATTCTCAGTGATTTACACCGCTCTGTTCTCTCAAAGGAATATCTGTTGTTCTTTAGTCCTCCTAATGCTTTTGTTCTCACAATCAAGGTGTCTTCCTTCTTCTCAGATCTTTTCCCTGTGACAAAACACCAAAACATATTGTCATACACTCTCATTTTCAGTTGAAAAAAGATTATAATTAAAGATTTCTGCTAAGATGTTATTGATGTTCTAAAAGTATACTATACTATACATATAAACGTATAAGTCTGAATATATAAATATAAACTATAACGATATATAGTTTATATATCCTTTTTGGGTCAAAATATATTCCACGCATTGTCACCCAAATATTTTTACTGATAGTTATGAATACATAAATGTTAATAGGAATACATAGTTCTAATTCTAAATATATAGTTACAAATCTGAATATATTAATTTAAATTTAAATATTACACATAAATATAAATTATATATATAATGATCAATTGTAATTATAATACAGATAAAATATATAAAATATGATTATGGCGTTTATTAATCATTTAATTATTTGTACATAATTGTTTGTAATATACATAACATGGACACTTTTAAAATAAAATGTTTTGTCATAAATACAATGTATTGGACCCTTCAGAGCTGCATGTGCTAATCTGAACACGATCTAGACCAGAATGAGCAAATTTGCAGATTGTTTTTTCACTCGATTGCTCTTAATTGGAAGCCAAAACACAACTCTTCTTTTCGAATCTTTCAAACTAACAGGACTGATCTGATCTGCTAAACTCTATTCTGTGTGTGAACATGCAGCTGTATCTCACATTGGGCACTTTTGATCAGATATTCTCTCTGGTTCACACACGCTCTCTGCTTCTCTCTCGCTCATAAACATCGCTCGCAATCCCCACAGGAAAGAGAAATCACAAATGAGCTCCATTCTTTCTTCTAGACCACAGTCTCCATTTAAATGGGTGCTTCTCCTGAGGAGAGTTTCAACAGAGATCATAACATTGCCTCAAACTGTCCTCTGTTTTGACCAATACACCAAAGTCTGCAATTTTAGTATGAACTCAAACTCATTCTAATCAAAACCAAAATGATACTCTATCCACAATATTAGTTTAACTTTCGGTTTGTCTCTCCAAAGACATTTCAGGAGAAACATCTGAGACTAAGTTGCTACTCCTACAAACGTGTGTGAAGTCTCCAGAGCAATAAAAGAGCAACCTCTGAGCAACAGTGAGGAAGACCAACAGATGGCAGGTAATATTTATTCTCCTCAGTTTATTCGTCCTAGTGCATTCCCGTTTCTCCGTTCCCAGCCAGATTCCGTGTTCCAGGGATGGTGTGTTCCTGTGTGGAGTCAGGAACGAATGATAGTGGCTCCCCCCCCCTCTCTCTCTCTCTCTCTCTCTCTCTCTCTCTCTCTCTCTCTCCCTCCCTCTCTCTCAGTTTGTCTTGTGAGCGAATGAGCGTATCTCGTTTGCTGACTCCCCCCGCCCCCCTTTTTCTCTCTGTCATTGACACCTTCTCCCTCCTTTGTCCCATGTTTTGTTCTCACTGTTCAAAAATATTCCTGTCGTTTCACTGTTTCTGTCTCTGCCTCCTCTTTGCCATATGTTTACCTGCTCTCACTGTCTCCACAACCTGCTATCCATTTTTTTTTTGTGCGTGTCAATTATCTATTGCGTTTTTCTCTTTCTATCTCTGAAAACTAAATCTTATGGTTCTACAGATGACTGCAGCAGTGTTTACTGAGACAGCAGGTCACAGATCTCTGTATGTCTGTCTGTGTGTGTGTGTGTGTGTGTGTGTGTGTGTGTGTGTGTGTGTGTGTGTGTGTGTGTGTCGTATATACAGCAC